CTGTGCGAAAGGTTAGTGCAGGTGTTAGTCATGTTCTTAATTTGTTTGAAATTCTGTTTTTGTTGAATATGTTTCTAAGCTTGTTCAGGCTGCATTCATACTTTGCTTCAGCGTTTTGAGCGTTTCGAGGGACTAGCGAACTCATCGATCTGGCGTAGGCCAGCGTACAGCAGCGTTTTGGGCGTTTTCGCGAGTGGTCGCCGAATGTAATGGCGTGCGCTAAAAATGCCGACGCAGAGTATGAACGAGTGACGCACAATTCCTTAGATACGCTGTATAACGGCGAATTACACGATGTTAGTGGATTTCAAGAGATTGAGAGATAGAGCAGTATTCTCTCTCAGCTCAAAAGGCGCCTAAAGTCCCAAGTCTTGGCGTCGTTCCACCCCCTCCCCTCCCTTACAGTCGCGAAATTGATGGAGCATTTGCGATTGCAGAACTGCAAACCTTGAGAAATGGAGCAGGTAACGACGTCACTGCCACTGGGTCTCAATTCAAAGAACAGGCTGGCAGTGATCCTGTTGTTCGAGAAAAAGAAAAAATTGCAACCTCGTGCGAAATGGAAAATCTGAACAAGTTGTAGCAGTACCTGGAAGTAGCAAATGTCCAAATAATGCATAGAATCAACACGGACAGCAAGAAAATTCAGGGTGCAGCGATAATTGCACCTATAACGACAAGGGAAACTGTATGGTTGTGAAATCTTTTATTTCACTTTGGATTCAATTGGAGGGTGAGTGGGCTTATGTGGTAAAACGTTAGCGCGTTCATTCACCGAAACACGGCGCCGCTGAAGTTGTTGATTCCGCTATGACATCGGCAAACATTTCTCGCTTACGTACAGCCGGTGTGCTGTCTTTTTACCTTCCATCTCAGCTGATCGTAGATGCCCTTAAGAGTGCGTTTATACTTCGCGTATTGATCACGCGTGCGATTTGGTCGTTCTCGCGAGGAAGACCAGAGGCGTCTGCCGCTAATCGGTGGACCGTGCAGTGGCATATAGTAAATAATGTTTCGGATTTCCATTTTTCTTCGCTATTTCAACACATTGACGACCGCGTGATACGCATTGAATTCACGCTTTTAGGCCACGTGGGACCGCGTGCATTGAATACGAATCACGACCAACAAATCCATATCTTTCACTAGTGCATGATTTTTTGTTTAGTTTCTCCTATTCATTCTATAGTTCAGTCCTTAGTATACTCGTACAATGCGTAGTCCATGGAATAATTCAGTACACACTAGTTTAGCAAAGACTTCTTGGGGAAAGAACACCATTTGCTTGGACTGGTTTGCTCCTCAACTCTGGATTGGTTTGCTCTCCAACACTTTACTAACAAATGCAGATAAATACCATATTGATAATGATAAAAAATATAAGATGAAGGATTCTGAGTCCTGTAGAAGGCACGACTTGTTTTTTTTATGAAAACATTGGTTACAGACAAATTCTTGGCACCTAGTGCAACGAGAGTTGGCCAGCCTAGTTTTTTCCATAGTGAATGATTGACTCACTTCATAATTGCTCTCTAAACCAGGTTTTCCGATCCAATCTCCAAAAAAGCGCCTCGTGGGACCGCGTGAATTGTATGCGTACCGCGCTTGTGGCGTTCGAGAAAGCGCGCGTGTCCCACGAGGCCGAAAAAGTAAAAACCCGCGCTGTCGTCAACGTGTGAGGCATTTTTTTGTCTAATCACGGTCTCGATCCCAGGATCTTTGCCTAACTTTCCTTGACACATGTTTGACAATAATAATCAGTGCCAACCTGTATATGTCACAGTTGTGTGCTATCAGTCCGGCACATCTTCTTGCATCATCTGTTTTTCTTCCTGGTTCCTGAGCATTATCAATTTCCCATGGCAAATACTCACGAGGAAGAAGTGAGCGGAAGATCTTTCATTCCCAATATGAATGAATGGGCTGTTGTAGCGGTCCACCACTTAGTAGTGGAGCATCTCGGTCTTGGTCGCCCAGTCGGAGCGACCAGATATTGAATTGCGAAGTAGGGGCGCTTTCTAAAGCAAGGAATGTATGGCTTTAAATGAAAATGCAAGTCCTCGTTACAGATCACCGTTCGCCCGCTCTACTACCATCTATATGTGGACGTTGGTGCAGTTCCAGAAGAATGGCGCGAGAAGAAAAGCTAACACAAAATTATTGTATACCTGTATAGAAGAACAGGTCCATTCAATCGTCTTTTTATGAAATGGGTGTTGAAATGTGATATTTCTCTTATTGGTCAGGAAAATTGCTTGCTGTAGGCGTCTCCGCGATATAATTTCTTGCCATCCTCTTTTTGTTGTTGCATGTATTGTGTTCGGCAAAATTGCCTGATCTTCTTGTTGCCTTAATGTTTCACATAGTCCACTTCAGTTGGTCCTGTTGTTTCAATATCGTCCCAGTATTATGGTTTGCAAAATTGGATCATGGATTCCGTTTTCAGACTCTTTCACTAGTCGTTTTCCCTTATGTTTCGAAGCCGGTAGCTTGCTTGGACTTCTTGTTTTCGTCGTCGATCATCCCAAACGCTTACTTACGAGCCTTGGAGAATGTCTTTCGTTTTCTCGTGTACATTTGTTATTTTGCCGTATGTTCTGGCTCCTGTCATAGTTTCCAAATGCACACATTTACGGCCTTCTTCTGGATCGTATAGATAGAATTTTCTTTTTCATTTCACCTTTTTTGCAATTTTGCTTAATCTTGCGAGATGTCATAAATGTGATATCTATGCTGTCGCACGTATTGATTAGGTTTTGAATCCGATACCATAACAGAGCAAAAAAGCTTTGATTTCTTGCGAGTACGTGCTTTGACCCCCTTTTTAGGGATGGGGAGTCTCGACATTTTGCCCGAGCACGTCATTTTGAAAATACTGCGGCATCTAGGAAGCCTGATACATGTGGCTAGATCTGGAATGTGGGTTTTCTAAAACTGGCTTATTTTCAATTTCCTTTTCCGTTGCTGTACTATTACTGCCGAACTCTACCTGAGACTGTTTTGGTACGAGCTCCCTGTGGAAGGTTAATCTGAGCTAAATTCCAGTTGTTCTAATGTGCCCAAATAACCAGTGTGGCGGGAACGCAACAGAAACAAATCCAGTTTCTTTTCGTCCATTAACAGTACAAAATGCTTACAAAATGCTACTATAAAGCATGCGATCACATTGCCGAGTTTATTCCTTGGGCTTACGTGAGGTCTTCTAGCTGCATAGGGAGTACAGTGGATATCATCGCGATCAGTCTGGTCGATTTCCAAATGTATGGGACGACTCACCCACTGGTTGTCTTCTTCCTGCGTCGATCACTATCCGATTGCTATTGGTAGAGCAAGGCAGGCGGGCTCGTCATGCCTTTATCATACCGCCTCCGACTGTTCACGGCGGTACAAACTATTTCAGAGGGTTGCGTGGTGAACCTTCAGTCGCTTCTTCCACCGAGCAAGATTGCAGGATAAGTTGGCCTTGTTCTGTATGTGGGACCTTTTGGATCGCGTTGTTACTTTGATATAGGGGTTGTTGGATGCTTACCAGGGAAGGTCGCCAATTTACCATGGAACTTGGAACAGAGACCTGGGTGGTTCGATGGAGTCTACAAGGCTATTAACAAATATAG